ATTGTAATGTAAACATCTGATATGCAGGATGCATTTTCATTCACTGGACCACATTTGGCACAAATATTCAATATGTCCAAATTTGAATACTGATGGGGTTGGGGTTGGATTGATTTTGTCATTTGGGAGTCGTAGTTGCTGGGATTTATGGTTAACCTACAATCAAAGAGCATTCTGAACTCCAACCATGATGGAATTGAACCAAACTTGGCACACAGAACTCCCATGATCAACAGAAAATACTGGAAGGGTTTCGTGGGCATTGACTTTGAGTTTTGGTGTTGTAGTTCACCTACATCCAGAGAGCACTGGGGACTCAAACAATGATGGATCTCGACCAAACTTGGCACAAATACTCAATATGTCCAAATGTGAACACTGGTGGAGTTTGGGGAAATAGACCTTGACATTTAAGAGTTGCAGTTGCTGGGATTTATAGTTCACCTACAATCAAAGAGCATTCTGAACTCCACCAATGATGGAATTGGCCACACTTCGCACACAGAATCCCCATGACCAACAGAGAATACTGGTGGGCATTGACCTTGAGTTTTGGAGTTGTAGTTCACCTACATCCAGAGAGCATTGTGGACTCAAACAATGATGGATCTGGACCAAACTTGGCACAAATACTCAATATGCCCAAATGTGAACACTGGTAGAGTTTGGGTAAAATAGACCCATTGTAGCAAGTCTGACTCCAATAGCTTTAAAAACGAGGGAGATAGGAGCCTCTGAAGTTTCCCCTGCCACGTATTGCTGTGGCCCATTCTGTGTATATGAGTTTAGTGTGTGTGTATATGTAATAATAATAATAATAGTAATAATAATAATAATAACAACAACAACACTTTATTTGTACCCCGCTACCATCTCCCCAAGGGACTCGGTGCGGCTCACATGAGGCTGAGCACGAATACAACAATAGAAGCAAAACAACAACAGTACAAGCAATTAAAATAAAAACATAGACAATAAAATATACAACATTATCAATAAGACAACACGCAATTAAAATGTATGTGTGTGTATATATTTGTGTAAATATGTGTGTTTGTGTGTATATATATATGGGTGTATATATGTATGTGTATATATTTGTGTGTATGTATTTGTGTGTTTATATGTGTACATGCATATTGTGTATATGTGTGTGCTTGTCTATATGCATATTGGTGTGTATATATTAATGTATGTGGATATGTATATGTGTGCATGTGTATATGTATATATGTGTGTATGTGTATATGTATATATGTGTGTATGTATATGTATGTGTGTATATGTGACTGGACTGACCTTGAAGGAGCTGGGGGTGGTGACGGCCGACAGGGAGCTCTGGCGTGGGCTGGTCCATGAGGTCACGAAGAGTCGGAGACGACTGAACGAATGAACAACAACAAATATGTGTATATTTGTGTGTGCTTGTGCATACATACGTGTGTGTATGAATGTGCATGTGTATATGTATATGAGTGTATGTGTGTGCATATATATATATATGGTGTATTTTGGGTTTTTTTAAGTCTTTTCCTCTAGGGTTGTGTGTATGTGTGTGTGTGTGTGTGTTTATGGGTGATGGACACTCATTGGACTGTTAGGTGTATTGTGTCCAAATTCCGTGTCAATTGGTCCAGTGGTTTTTGAGTTATGTTAATCCTGCAAACAAACATTATATATATATATATATATATATATATACACACACACACACACACACACACACACACACACACATATACATATACATACACACACACACACACTGGCTGTCCTTTGCCACATGTTGCTGTGGCCCAGTCTGTGCATATGTGTTTTGTGTGTGTGTGTATGTGTATATATATTTGTGTATATGTGCATACCTGTGTGTTTGCATGTATATATGTGTGGTTTTGTGCATGCATTGTAATTTTTTTTAATTTTTAATCTCTTCTGCTGTGTTTTTCAGTGTTTTTATGAGTGATGGTCACTCATTGCCTGAGAGGTGTTTTGTGTCCAAATTTGGTGTCAATTTGCCCAGTGGTTTTTGAGTTATGTCAATCCCACAAACAAACATTACATTTTTATTTATATAGATACACATACACACACATCTATATGTATAAAGTCAACTCTGATGGACAGCTATGGTTCTCTAAGTAGATTTCTTTACCAGCCTTATTTGGAGACATTTTTTGTGATATTATTGTTATTGTTTTGCTTTGTTTTTGAGTTATTTACTGTTGTATTGTTGTCGTTGTGTTTTATTGTTGTTGTATTTGGGCTCGGCCTCTTGTAAGCTGCACCGAGTCCTGCGAGAGATGGTAGCGGAGTATAAATAAAGGATTATTATTATTATTATTATTATTATTATTATTATTATTATTTTCACGCAAAGCAATTGAATTAAAGCCCTTTCTCTCACCAAAGTGAATTTATTTGCATACTGTGGGGTACTTTGGGTTGTTGTGGAATACTTTCCCTAAATGCACGGGTTAAGATTGCAACCCGAGGAAGAATATTGCACTATTCAGACTACGTTTCTCAGAACTGTATGGTTTCGGATGCTATAGTCCCCGAAACATATAACATTTTGGGAGGCTTCGTCAAAGAAGAATGTGTGGCTTGATGTGCAGGTTTATCTCCCCTTGCCTCTGATATCCATAAAAGGAGGCCCACACAGGAGAAGCCAGCGAGATACTGATTTATTTAGATGCAGTGCATGGGCTTCCAGATGACTAAGTATTTAGACATTTCCTCGAAAAGCTTGGAATAATCCTCATATAAATCACGCGGCAGCATTCAAAGTGGCAGCGATGGTAACGTCTTGGGAAGCCATGAAAACTTTCCAACAAATTTTTGAGTAGAAAATATGCATCTGAAACACAGACATGTGCCTTTCATCTCAAGAACAGAGAAGCATCCCGAGCTCTGAAGATCACCTGGGAAGGAATCCCACTGGAGCATTGCAGCGCACCCAAATCCCTGGGAGGAGTCACTCTGGACCGTGCTCTGACCTACAAGAAGCACTGCCTGAACATCAAGCAAAAAGTGGCGCTAGAAACAATATCATACAAAAGCTGACTGGCACAACCTGGGGATCACAACCAGACACAGTGAAGACATCTGCCCTTGCGCTATGCTACTCTGCTGCTGAGTACGCATGCCCAGTGTGGAACACATCTCACCACGCTAAAACCGTGGATGTGGCTCTTAATGAGACATGCCGCATTATCACGGGGTGTCTGCGCCCTACACCACTGGAGAAAATTACACTGTCTAGCCGGTATTGCACCACCTGACATCCGCCGGGAAGTAGCAGCCAATAGTGAAAGGACCAAGGCAGAGACATCTCCAGCTCATCCCCTGTTTGGGTATCAGCCAGCACGTCAATGACTTAAATCAGTTTTCTAAGATCTACAGAGACACTCGCTGGAACACCTCAGCAAGCGAGAGTCCAAAAGTGGCAGGCTCAAACCCAGAACTGATACCAGATGAGAGACTCCCCCCTGGGCACACAGAGGACTGGGCGACTTGGAAGGCGCTGAACAGACTGCGCTCTGGCACCACGAGATGCAGAGCCAACCTTCAGAAATGGGGTCACAAAGTGGAATCCTCGACATGTGAGTGTGGAGAGGAGCAAACCACTGACCACCTGCTGCAATGCAACCTGAGCCCTGCCACATGATGCACCAAGGGAGGACCTTCTTGCGGCAACACCAGAGGCACTCCAAGGGGACAGAGACTGGTCAAAGGACATTTAATCAACTACCAAACTCACACATCTTGTATTTTCTGTTTGTTTGCTTTGTCCTGTTAGAAATGTAGCATAATGGACTGGCTGCCCTGACACGAGAAATAAAATAAACTGGATACTAGGTGTTTAGCCTGAAAAGGAGGGCAAAAAAAGGAAGTTATTTAATGTATTATGCAGATAAGCTCTTAATTGCAGCCTTAAAGAGAGAGACATGGATGCAGGTCTTCCTTTTGTTGTCCAAAGGCGCCCTCTATTGGGGAAAAGGAGGAATTGGCTGTATCAATAAAAGTTACAATGACAGAAGAAGCAGAGAAAGCTAATCTTGTATTGTCGAAGGCTTTCATGGCTGGAATCACTAGGTTCTTATGGGTTTTTTCGGGCTATAGGGCCATGTTCTAGAGGCATTTCTCCTGACGTTTCGCCTGCATCTATGGCAAGCATCCTCAGAGGTAGTGTAGGCTTGGGCGGTTTCGTTCGTTAATTTCGTAATTCGTTATTAATTCGTATTTAAATTAGCTTACGATCCAATATTGAGCCATGCAGGAATAGTGTGAGGAGTAAATTAGATTCGAAACAATTTTTCCAATTTATTTCGTAATTCGTAATTATTTCGTAATTATTTCGTAATTATTTTCGCATGTCTGGTGCAAGTTTTATAGTTGTTGTTTGTTTTATCACACCAACAGTCAACAACAGAGGGAGAGGGAAGCTTCAGAAGTTCCCCCTGTCCCATTTGGAGGTTTTTTTAGCATATTGCGCAATCTCGCGCCATTAACGAATCGATTCGTAATTTTACAAAATTTCGTAAATTTAAAGGAAAATTTCGGAATTCTTTAAAAAAAATGAAATGCAAGGGCCCCCTAAAAACAAAACGAGTTTAGAACCAATTTTTTCCATGGTTACCCAAGCCTAGTAGTGAGGTCTGTTGGAAGTAGGAAAAATGGGTTTATATATCTGTGGAATGGCTGGGGTGGGGCAAGGAGCTCTTCTCTGCTGGAGCTAGGTGTGAAGAGAAGAGACCATGAAAATGAACAAAATCTGGCTACCAGTATTAAAAAAACTCTAAAATTACAACAGCAAAACAGCAGAGAGGAAACAACCAGGCACATCTTAACACCTCTCAACAAAAGATTTTCCCAGGCTCAGCCAGGCCTTCAAATGCTAATGAAGGTGGTCAGTTGAAACATTCACACCTAGCTCCAGCAGAGAAGCGCTCTTTGCCCCACCCCAGCCATTCCACAGATATATAAACCCATTGTCCTAATTCCAACAGACCTCACTACCTCTGAGGATGCTTGCCATAGATGCAGGCGAAACGTCAGGAGAAATGCCTCTAGAACATGGCCCTATAGCCCGAAAAAAACCACAAGAACCTAAAGCTAATCTTGCTGCTTATTATAATTGGGGAATAGTTTCAGAATAGGTAAAGGGAAAGGCTTCCCCTGACATTAAGTCCAATCGTGTCTAACTCTGGGACTCTGGTACTCATCTCCATTTCTAAGCCGAAGAGCCGACGTTGGCCGCAGACACCTCCAAGGTCGTGTGGCCAGTGGCACGATTGCATGGAGTCCCCTTACCTTCCTGTAGAAGCAGTACCTATTGATCTACGCACACTTGCATGTTTTTGAACTGCTAGGTTGGCAGAAGCTGCAGCTAACAGAGGGAGCTCACCCTGCTCTCTGGATTCGAACATGCAACCTTTCAGCAGCTCAGCATTTTATCCTGCTGCGCCAACTATTGTCTTGGTATAATATATATGGAGCCATGGCTTCAAACTGCAAGAAAGGAGATTCCACCTGAACATGAGGAAGAACTTCCTGACTGTGAGAGCTGTTCAGCAGTGGAACTCTCTGCCCCGGAGTGTGGTGGAGGCTCCTTCTTTGGAGGCTTTTAAACAGAGGCTGGATGGCCATCTGTCGGGGGGTGCTTTGAATGCAATTTTCCTGCTTCTTGGCAGAATGGGGTTGGACTGGATAGCCCATGAGGTCTCTTCCAACTCTAGGATTCTATGATTCTATGTGACGGCAGGGGTACAAATAATAACAATAACAATAACAATAACAATAATAGTTATAGTTGGTTACACGGCATCGAATACTGCCATTATATGTTGTTGGCTGCAATCTTGCGAATGGACTGATCTTCACCTTGGGAAGTACGAGCATACCATTTGAGGTGTGATTCTCGTAGTTTGTCCACAATCGGAGCAATGCCAACACATTGCTGGATGTCATTGTTGTGGATGTGGTCAAGACAGGTGACACCAGCTGTAGGTCATAGCATTCTCATCTGCATAACATGCTTCCTTTGCGTCCGGCCAGCATTCAGCTCCATATATTGCGGCAGACCTTACGACAGTCCGATAGATTTTTGATTTCAGGTGGTTGGGCACCTGCTACTGATCACCTGAAACCTAACGCCACTGCATCCAAGCCACGCTAATCTGTGTTGTCACTAAGTCAAAAAGGTTGCTATCTGAAGTTATCATCAATCCAAGATACTTGAAGGTGTTGGCTTTTGGGAGATCACCCCGTCCATACGGATTTAGCCGAAAGAGGTGAGCATTAGATTCGAGTAAATACGGTATCAACCACTGGGTGGTCAAAACAAGGAATGGGTGGCAGGAGAGAGGTGTTCATCACTTCTGTTAGCCAAAGAGACATCTTCAAGAAGGGTCCAAGAGCCATGGAAGAGGTCTTCTTGTGCGAAATGGCCTTCAGGCAGCCTGCCTCTTGGCCCTCTTCTCCTTGGCCACCTCAGCTTCGTAAAAGCCCTTGAGCTTGACGATCAAGACAACCGTAAGGACAATGAGGGAGAGGACCCCAGTGATGGCTGTGAGGGCCCCCACCACTTGCCCGAACGTAGTCACGGGGCACACATCTCCGTACCCGATGGTGGTCAAGGTGATCAAAGCCCACCAAAGGCCATAGGTGATCTTGTCCATGTGGACATCGGGCTCCCCCATCTCTGCGTAGTAGCAGAGGGAGCCGAAGAAGAGGACTTGGAAGGCGAAGACTAACACAAAGAGGAAGACCTCCTTCAGGATCGCCTTGGCCAGGCTGGGCAGGATCCTCAGCATCAGAGGAGTCTCCACCAGGCGGAAGACCTTCAGGAGCTTGAAGATGTAGACAATGCGGAAGAGACCAAGCCATGCAATGAGATACTTATCTTTTGATGAGAGGAGTTCAATGAGGACCGGGAGGAGGCAGAGGAAGTCCACCACGTTCAGAGGACTCAGGAGGAACTTCTTCTTGCTGGGGCAGATGGCCAGCCGGAGGAAGAATTTGAAGGAAAATAAGAGGATGAAGAAGAGCTCCAGGTAGAGGAGGGGAGTGGCCGCCTTGTGCAAAAAGGTCCAGTGGTGCAGATGGGGGACAGGGGAGGTTTCATTAAGGACGGCAAAATAGCTGGTGGTGTCTACATTGGCCAGGATGACGAGACCGATGTTGAGGAGCAAGGAGAAGACAGCCAAGCCCTGCAAAGAGAAAGGGACATGCATGGTTGGACATCACGCCAGAGCCCTTACAAGCTCCTATCCAGACACACTTCCATTAACCAAGCCCCTAACAAAGACACTCCTATGTATTGTCGAAGGCTTTCATGGCTTGAATCACTGGGTTGCTGGAGGTATATAGCCAAGTTCTAGAAGCATTCTCTCCTGATGTTTCACCTGCATCTATGGCAAGCATCCTCAGAGGTTGTGAGACTTCACAACCTCTGAAGATGCTTGCCATAGATGCAGGCGAAACAACAGGAGAGAATGCTTCTGGAACATGGCCATACCTCTCAACCTCTGAGGATGCCTGCCATAGATGAAGGCAAAATGTCAGGAGAGAATGCTTCTGGAACATGGCCATGCCTCTCAATCTCTGAGGATGCTTGCCATAGATGCAGGCGAAACATCAGGAGAGAATGCTTCTGGAACATGGCCATACCTCTCAACCTCTGAGGGTGCCTGCCACAGATGCAGGTGAAACATCAGGAGAGAATGCTTCTGGAACATGGCCATGCCTCTCAACCTCTGAGGGTGCCTGCCATAGATGCAGGCGAAACATCAGGAGAGAATGCTTCTGGAACATGGCCATGCCTCTCAATCTCTGAGGATGCTTGCCATAGATGCAGGTGAAACGTCAGAAGAGAATGCTTCTAGAACATGGCCATACCTCTCAACCTCTGAAGGTGCCTGCCACAGATGCAGGCGAAACATCAGGAGAGAATGCTTCTGGAACATGGCCATGCCTCTCAATCTCTGAGGATGCTTGCCATAGATGCAGGTGAAACGTCAGAAGAGAATGCTTCTAGAACATGGCCATATCTCTCAACCTCTGAGGTGCCTGCCACAGATGCAGGCGAAACATCAGGAGAGAATGCTTCTGGAACATGGCCATACAACCCAAAAAACTTACGGTAACCCAATCTTGGAGTCCTCATGGACAATAAGTTAAACATGAGCCAGGAATGTCATGTAGTGACAAAAAAAAGCCAATGGGATTTTGGGCTGCATCAAGAGGAGTCCTAGTGCCTAGGACCAGGGAAGTCATGCTCCCTATGCTTTATTCTATTTGCCTTGGCCAGACTACGTTACCTGGAATCATACTCTGTCCAATTCTGGGCACCACAACTGAAGGGAGAGGTTGACTCTAAGCTGGAATGTGTCCAGAGGAGGGTACTCAAAGGATCAAGGGTCTGGAGAACAAGCCCTATGAGGAGCGGCTTAAGGAGCTGGGCATGTTTAGCCTGAAGAAGAGAAGGCTGAGAGGAGATATGATAGCCATGTATAAATATGTGAGAGGAAGCCACCGGGAGGAGGGAGCAGATCAGGGGTCTGAAGAACAAGTCCTATGAGGAGTGGCTTAAGGAGCTGGGCATGTTTAGCCTGAAGAAGAGAAGGCTGAGAGGAGATATGATAGCCATGTATAAGTATGTGAGAGGAAGCCACAGGGAGGAGGAAGCAGGCTTCCGTTCTGCTGCCCTGGAGAGTAGAACGCAGTGGAGCCATGGCTTCAAACTACAAGAAGGAAAGAAGATTCCACCTGAACATGGGGAAGAAATTCCTGACTGTGAGAGAGTGCTGTTCAGCAGTGTGTGGTGGAGGCTCCTTCTTTGGAGGCTTTTAAACAGAGGCTGGATGGCCATCTGCTGGGAGTGCTTTGAATGCGATTTTCCTGCTTCTTGGCAGAATGGGGTTGTGCTTCCAACTCTATGATTCTATGATTCTATATGATGGCAAGGGTATAAATAATGCAATTATTATTATTATTATTATTATTATTATTAGAGTAGGTTACATGGTATCGAATACTGCCATTATATGTTGTTGGCTTCACTCTTGCAAATGGGCTGATCTTCATCTCGGGGAGTATGAGCATACCATTTGAGGTGTGGCTCTCGTAGTTTGTCCACAATTGAGCAATGCCAAAGCATTGCGGGACGTCATTGCTTTTTTAAAATATTTTTTTGGATGTCATTGTTGTGGATGTGGTGAAGACTTGTGATGCCAGCTGTAAGTCGTAGCATTCTCATCTGCATAACATACTTCCTTTGCGTCCGGCCAGCATTCATATATTGCGGCAGGCCTTATGACAGTTTGATAGATTTTTGATTTCAGGTTCTACCGATCACCTGAAACCCAATGCCATTTCATCCAAGCCTGTGTAGTGACTTAGTCAAAAAGGTTGCCATCTGAAGTTATTGTCAAGCCAAGATACTTGAAGGTGTTGGCTTTTGGGAGATCACCCCGTCCATCTGGATTTAGTCAAAAAAGTTGAGCGTTAGATACAAGTAAATAGGGTATCAACCACTGGGTGGTCAAAACAAGGAATGGGTGGCAGGAGAGAGGTGTTCATCACTTCTGTTAGCCAAAGAGACATCTTCAAGAAGGGTCCAAGAGCCATGGAAGAGGTCTTCTTGTGCGAAATGGCCTTCAGGCAGCCTGCCTCTTGGCTCTCTTCCTCTTCTCCTTGGCCACCGCAGCTTCGTAAAAGCCCTTGAGCTTGACGATCAAGATGACCATCAGGACGATGAGGGAGAGGACCCCTGTGATGGCTGTGAGGGCCCCCACCACTTGCCCAAATTTGGTCACTGGGTACATGTCTCCGTACCCGATGGTGGTCAAGGTGATCAAGGCCCACCAAAGGCCAGAGGTGATTTTGTCCATGTGGCTATCGGGCCCCCTCATCTCTGCGTAGTAGCAGAGGGAGCCAAAGAAGAAGACCTGGAAGACAAAAACCACCACGAAGAGGAAGACCTCCTTCAGGATCGCCTTGGCCAGGCTGGGCAGGATCCTCAGCATCAGAGGAGTCTCCACCAGGCGGAAGACCTTCAGGAGCTTGAGGACGTAGACGACTCGGAAGAGGCCAAGCCAGCCAATAAGGTATTCAACTTTGGATGAGAGGAGTTCGATGAAGACCGGGAGGAGGCAGAGGAAGTCCACCATGTTCAGAGGACTCAGGAGGAACTTCTTCTTGCTGGGGCAGATGGTCAGCCATAGGAAGAATTTGAAGGAAAATAAGAGGATGAAGAAAAGCTCCAGGTAGAGGAGGGGAGTGTCCGCCTTGTGCAAAAAGGTCCAGTGGTGCAGATGGGGGACAGGGGAGGTTTCATTAACGATGGCAAAATAGCTGGTGGTGTCTACATTGGCCAGGATGACGAGACCGATGTTGAGGAGCAAGGAAAAGACAGCCAAGCCCTGCAAAGAGAAAGGGAATGCATGGTTGGACGTCAAGCCAGAGCCCTTACGAAATACAGTATCAACCACTGGTTGGTCAAAACAAGGAATGGGTGGCAGGAGAGAGGTGTTCATCACTTCTGTTAGCCAAAGAGACATCTTCAAGAAGGGTCCAAGAGCCATGGAAGAGGTCTTCTTGTGCGAAATGGCCTTCAGGCAGCCTGCCTCTTGGCCCTCTTCCTCTTCTCCTTGGCCACCGCAGCTTCGTAAAAGCCCTTGAGCTTGACGATCAAGACGGCCGTCAGGACGATGAGGGAGAGGACCCCTGTGATGGCTGTGAGGGCCCCCACCACTTGCCCAAATTTGGTCACTGGGTACATGTCTCCGTACCCGATGGTGGTCAAGGTGATCAAGGCCCACCAAAGGCCAGAGGTGATTTTGTCCATGTGGCTATCGGGCCCCCTCATCTCTGCGTAGTAGCAGAGGGAGCCAAAGAAGAAGACCTGGAAGACAAAAACCACCACGAAGAGGAAGACCTCCTTCAGGATCGCCTTGGCCAGGCTGGGCAGGATCCTCAGCATCAGAGGAGTCTCCACCAGGCGGAAGACCTTCAGGAGCTTGAGGACGTAGACGACTCGGAAGAGGCCAAGCCAGCCAATAAGGTATTCAACTTTGGATGAGAGGAGTTCGATGAAGACCGGGAGGAGGCAGAGGAAGTCCACCATGTTCAGAGGACTCAGGAGGAACTTCTTCTTGCTGGGGCAGATGGCCAGCCGGAGGAAGAATTTGAAGGAAAATAAGAGGATGAAGAAGAGCTCCAGGTAGAGGAGGGGAGTGGCCGCCTTGTGCAAAAAGATCCAGTGGTGCAGATGGGAGACAGGGGAGGTTTCATTAACGATGGCAAAAAAGCTGGTGGCATCTACATTGGCCAGGATGACGAGACCGATGTTGAGGAGCAAGGAAAAGACAGCCAAGCCCTGCAAAGAGAAAGGGAAGGCATGGTTGGACGTCAAGCCAGAGCCCTTACAAGCTCCTATCCAGACACACTTCCGTTCACCAAGTCCCTAACAAAGACACGCCTATGTATTGTCGAAGGTTTTTATGGCTTGAGTCACTGGGTTGTTGTAGGTTTTTCGGGCTATATAGCCATGTTCTAGAAGCATTCTCTACTGACATTTCACCTGCATCTATGGCAAGCATCCTCAGAGGTTGTGAGATTAGGGTTAGGGTTAGGGTTATAATTGTCTCCTGTGCTATTTTAATAATATAATATATATAATATTTATAGTATTATAACGTAATGCAATATAATAATAATAATAAAATGATATTATAATTATATGTTTATATTACATGCAATATTACTAATAATATTACAATATAATGGTGTAGTACAAAATAGTAATATTTAATACTGATATTGTACTATAGTAATAATATTATTGTCTCCTGTGCTATTCAAATAATATAATATATATATTTGTAATATTATAATGTAATGCAATATAATAATAATAAAATGATATTATAATTATATGTTTATATTACATGTAATATTACTAATAATGTTAAAATAGAATGGTATAGCAATGTTTAATGCTGATATTGTATAATGCTAATAATATAATATATTTATGTAATATATACCTGTAAGCCACTCTGAGTCCCCTTCGGGGTGAGAAGGGCAGCATATAAATGTTGTAAATAAATAAATAAAATAAATATTAGCATTAGGAGTGGGATAGAGCAGGAAGGCTGGAGAAAAACAGGCTTCAGTGTTGGAATTCTACTCCTTCCAGACTTTGGGTGCATCTACACTGCAGAATGAATGTAGTTTGACACCACTTTAACTGTCACAGCTCAATGCTTTGGAACCCTGGGAGCTGTAGCTTTGCAAGATCTGAAACTTTCTCTGTCAAAAAGGGCCGCTACCTCATCACACCGCAAATCTCCACATCCCATAGCATGGAGATAAAGTTAATCTGCATTAAATCTTCAGTGTAGGTTTTGACCTATAAAGCCCTAAACGGCTCTGGCCCAGTTTACCTGTCCGAACGGATTCTCCCCTATGAACCATCAAGGCTATTAAGATCTTCCGGGGGGGGGGGTGGGGGCTGCTCTCGGTCCCACCACCCTCGCAATCATGGTGTGGGACGAGGGACAGGGCCTTCTCAGTGGTGGCTCCCCGGCTTTGGAACTCCCTCCCACTAGAGGTTAGATCTGCCCCCTCCCTCCTGACGTTCAGGAAATCACTAAAAACCTGGCTCTGGAATGTGGCATTTGGGGACTGAACCTAGAACCTTCCCTGTGATGAATTATGATGAACTGTGACTACGAGCATGACTATGACTTTGACTGGATTGACGATTTGGCGTAGGAAACTGTAATGATGTAATGATGATGTTTTTATTGTACTGTGTTGTACTATTTTAATATGTAATGATTTGCACTTGTTGTTCTTTTATATGATTGTACTTTATATATGCTGTAAACCGACCTGAGTCCCTCGTCGAGGTTGAGAAGGCCGGTATAGAAAACCTCTAAATAAATAAATAAATAAATGACCACTTCTACTTAGGACCTCAGATGTTTTTGGCCTTCAACTCCCAGAAATCGTAACAGCTGGTAAACTGGCTGGGATTTCTGGGAGTTGTAGGCCAAAAACATCTGGGGACCCCAGGTTGAGAACCACTGCCGTAGGGCTTGCCATTGGCCATGCTGGCCAGGGCTGCTGGGACTTCTACATCAAGACATAGTAAAGGATGTCAGTGGGGATGACGATGGTGGTGGATGTTTCGGCCCAACAAAGGGTGCATCTAAAGCAGTGCTTCTCAACCTGGGGTCCCCAGATGTTTTTGGCCTACAACTCCCAGAAATCCCAGCTAGTTTTAGGATTTCTGGGAGTTGAAGGCCAAAAACATCTGGGGACCCCAGGTTGAGAACCAATGCCCTACAGGAAGCTGGACTTTCACAACAACACAAAGGTTGCACAACTCCCATCTCTGTGTCACCCAGGAAGAAAACATCAACAGATGTGGCCAGCTGTTATGCTATTTCCCCAAAAACAACTGATGTTCCTTCTTCACCTCCCCTTTCCCAAAAGCATAAATGATCACAAACCCAACTGAATCTAGTGAACTGAGCAGGAAAGAAGGAGGGAGATACTTTTGAAACCTGACTTCCGTGGAATCCGTCTCCACTAAACCCCCCAAACTCATGTGATGAGTGGATTGAATGGAACTATGATTGGGGTCCGGCTAAGGGCCTGTTGAGGTCTAGCAAGACTGAAGACACCGTCCTAAAATTGGAAATGGCATTATGGAGAAACAAAAGAGATGAAGATTTTATTAACTTTGGAATAAAAAAACTGCTGAACTGATGTTAACTAACCTGGGAACTTTTGGTGCAAACAACACATATATTTTTTTTGAGCACACAGTAATCTTGACCCGGCCTTTTAAATTGCCTTGAACAGGCAGGGTTACTTTTAATATATATCCCAGCAACCAGGCATGTAGCTGGGGGGGGGGGGGGGGGCTTGAGGGGCTTCCCCCCCCCCCCCCGAAATTCTCATGGTAGTCCACGAGAAGGCCTTACTGGTGCATTATTTAAACTGTTATGTTTATTCATATCATGATCTGATCACCATCAATATATCCCATATGCATGGGGGTATTGGGGTAATGATACAAAAGGTTTGCTAGGCTAGGCCCTCTTTCACTCAGACTCAGCCCCCCCATCAAACTCAGCCCCCGAATCAAACTCAGCCTCCTGAATCAAACTCAGCTCCCCCAAATCAAACTCAGCCTCCCCTGAATCAAACTCAGCCTCCCCCGAATCAAACTCAGCCTCCCCAAATCAAACTCAGCCTCCCCCGAATCAAACTCAGCCTCCCCCGAATCAAACTCAGCCTCCCCCGAATCAAGCTCAGCCTCCCAAATCAAACTCAGCCTCCCCCGAATCAAACTCAGCCTCCCCGAATCAAACTCAGCCTCCCCCCAATCAAATTCAGGCTCCCCCAAATCAAACTCAGGCTCCCCCAAATCAAACTCAGCCTCCCCTGAATCAAACTCAGCCTCCCCCGAATCAAACTCAGCCTCTCCCGAATCAAACTCAGCCTCCCCCGAATCAAACTCAGCCTCTCCCGAATCAAACTCAGCCTCCCCGAATCAAACTCAGCCTCCCCCGAATCAACTCTGCCTCCCAAATCAAACTCAGCCTCCCCCGAATCAAACTCAGCCTCCCCGAATCAAACTCAGCCTCCCCCCAATCAAATTCAGGCTCCCCCAAATCAAACTCAGGCTCCCCCAAATCAAACTCAGCCTCCCCGAATCAAACTCTCAGCCTCCCCCGAATCAAACTCAGCCCCTCCCGAATCAAACTCAGCCTCCCCCGAATCAAACTCAGCCTCTCCCGAATCAAACTCAGCCTCCCCCGAATCAAGCTCAGCCTCCCCTGAATCAAACTCAGCCTCCCCCGAATCAAACTCAGCCTCCCCTGAATCAAACTCAGCCTCCCCCGAATCAAGCTCAGCCTCCCAAATCAAACTCAGCCTCCCCCGAATCAAACTCAGCCTCCCCCGAATCAAACTCAGCCTCCCCCGAATCAAACTCAGCCTCCCCCGAATCAAACTCAGCCTCCCCCGAATCAAACTCAGCCTCCCCCGAATCAAGCTCAGCCTCCCAAATCAAACTCAGCCTCCCCCGAATCAAACTCAGCCTCCCCCGAATCAAACTCAGCCTCCCCCGAATCAAGCTCAGCCTCCCAAATCAAACTCAGCCTCCCCCGAATCAAACTCAGCCTCCCCTGAATCAAACTCAGCCTCCCCCGAATCAAACTCAGCCTCCCCCGAATCAAACTCAGCCTCCCCCGAATCAAGCTCAGCCTCCCAAATCAAACTCAGCCTCCCCCGAATCAAACTCAGCCTCCCCTGAATCAAACTCAGCCTCCCCCAAATCAAACTCAGCCTCCCCTGAATCAAACTCAGCCCCCCAATCAAACTCAGCATCAAACTCAGCCTCCCCCGAATCAAACTCAGCCTCCCCCGAATCAAACTCAGCCTCCCCCGAATCAAACTCAGCCTCCCCCGAATCAAGCTCAGCCTCCCAAATCAAACTCAGCCTCCCCCGAATCAAACTCAGCCTCCCCCGAATCAAACTCAGCCTCCCCCGAATCAAACTCAGCCTCCCCCGAATCAAACTCAGCCTCCCCCGAATCAAGCTCAGCCTCCCAAATCAAACTCAGCCTCCCCCGAATCAAACTCAGCCTCCCCCCCCCCCCAATCAAAATCCTGGCTACAGGCCTGGTTATGGCGACAATTTTTATGCTTATATTGTTTTGCTAATCTTATGTGTATGTTGTTTACTCTGTATGGTATTGATGATGTTACTTGGAAACCACTCTCGGGGAGATGGAGCAGTATATAAAAATGTTTTATTATTATTTATTATTTACATAGTCCGAAACAATGACTCCTTACATTAAGGAAGTAAACAATATCTGTTTTATGTATTGTCGAAGGCTTTCATGGCTGGAATCACTAAGTTCTTGTGGGTTTTCTCGGGCTATAGGGCCATGCTCTAGAGGCATTTCTCCTGACGTTTCGCCTGCATCTATGGCAAGCATCCTCAGAGGTAGTTTTGGAATTGATGGAACTTCAGCAAGTCAGAGGTGAATGCCAAGTTGTCAGAACAATCAAGAAACAACAACAGCAAAAAGTTCTACATAAGGAGACCCTTTTCTCTTCCAAATGTGTGCCATATCTGCAAGGAATGCAGGATCTGAATATCCGCTGCCTCCTTCCAAGAAGCTGAGAGATGGAAAGAGGAAGAGACGGTCAGTAAGTGAGTGAATGAATGTGAGTGAATGGTATGTGTTCCCCCTTCTGTCTGCATAATCAATATAGCTATTAGAAATGCAGTACTGAGTCTGTAGGCCCTTCCAGACAGGCCCTCCTCTATAACAGGATCTGATCCTGGGTTTTCTGTTTATCCCTGATTATCTAGCAGTGCGGACTCATATAATCCAGTTTAAAGCAGAAAACCTGGGATCACATCCTGGGATATAGGGAACGTCCCACTGAAAATGGATTAAAGAACTTTTTTTTTCAAGTTCAAAAAGTATTCATGAAATCAGGGCCCTTCCACACGGCCATATAACCCAGAATGTCAACGCAGAAAATCTCACAATTTCTGCTTTGAACTGGGTTATCTGAGTCCACACTGCCATATATTCCAGTTCAAAGCAGATACTATGGGATTCTCTGCCTTGATATTCTGGATTAGATGGCTATGTGGAAGAGCCCTCCTTTCAGGCCCTGTCTTTGAAGATGGAAGCAGAGCAAAACCTACCATCGCCCATCGGGAAGAGTGGGGCTTCTCCAGGAGGGTCCATATTTGGAATTTCCGGTGGGTCATTCCCTCCACTTGGCTCGTTCCCTCCACTTGGCTCAGAAGACCCTGGCCATCACCAGCTTCCTCTGCATCCCCAAAGTCCTCACCCCATCCTTCTAGTGGGTCCTCCGTCTTGCTGAGCCTCATCCAGCAACAGTGGGGCAGCTGGGAGACTGTGATTTGCCAGAAGGCCAGTTCCTCCTCCAAGGCGGACCTGCAGATATCTGCCGGGCAGTGGAGGTGCCTGGTCCGGCAGTAGCTCAGCACCTGGCGGAAGAGCCGGGGGCTTCGGTCAAAGAAGAACTCCTTGGCGCTGGGGTCGTAGTCAAAGGCTGTGGAGGCCTCGGCTTCGGTGAGGCTGTGCAGCTTGGTCCTGGGGAAGGCCCTCAAGGTGCTGCGGGAGGTCTCGAAGCGGACTCCTCCGACGTTCAGGACCATCGTTTCTGGAGGATCCACCATCTTGGACAACCCACCAGATGTCCTCAGATCACCTGGAAACACAGTGGCAGCTGGTCAAGCCATTCCTTTGCCTTAACTCTCATTTCGAACCCAACTAGGCCTGTAGCAAGGGGGGGGGGGGGTTAGGGGTTCAACCCCCCCCCCCCAAAATGTTTCAGATTTTTTTAAAAACCTGGTTTACTCATGAATTTTAACTGGTTAACCAAATCCCCATGCTGCTAAGTCTATGAGATGCAAAAACTTAAGAGTCCCTCCAGAACTGCAAGCACCATCTCAGGCAAATATTGACAATTTATTCACACTGTTTGGAACACGCCTACCTGCGTGACCGCATCTCTGTGTATGAACCCACACGATCTCTTTGTTCATCTGAAGAGGCCCTACTCTTGATCCCACCTGCATCGCAAGTGCAATTGGCGGGGACGAGGGATAGGGCTTTCTCGGTGGTGGCCCCTCGACTCTGGAACTCTCTCCCTAAGGACATCAGGCAAGCCCCAGCCAGGATGTCTGCACGCCCCACTCCCCTCCAAACACCTTCCCTTTTCACCTGGTCATGCCCAGCACTTTTTAATTTTAATTATTACATTTGGCCCTGCCACAGATTTTAATTGCATCATGGTGTGTTGTTAATGTTATTGCCTTGTTTTTGAGTTATTTTGCTGTATTGTTGTTGTTGTTTTTACTGTTGTATTTGGGCTCGGCCTCTTGTAAGCCGCACCGAGTCCTCCAGGAGATGGTGGCGGGGTACAAATAAAGGATTATTATTATTACTATTATTATTATTATTATTATTATTACTGTCATTGTGGGATGTGTGTGTTGAATGTTCTCATTAAGGAGGCCAGACTTGGTGGAGGTGGTTGACAGGGGCGGAGCTGCAGGCTATTGAAGGCTGCTCTGCCCCCTGCTCTGCTCTTGCTTCAGTGTGAGCTAGGAGGCAGGTTTCAACCCCCCCCTGTGAAATTTTCAACCCCCCCCCCCGAAATTTCAACCCCTCCCGAATTTTTTTTCTGGCTACGGCCCTGAACCCAACCATTCAAGAACTATGCTGGGAGTGGAGAAAGCAGAGCTGATAGGTCGCATTATTACCCTGCTTTATCTTCAGGAGAGATAAAGCGGGATAATAATAATAATAATAATAATAATAATAATAATAATAATAAGTCTTTCATGTGTTTCCAAAGTATGATAACCCTCCCACAAAGGTTTTCTTGGCAAAGTGTCTTCAGATAAAGCTTGTCACCATTGGCTGTGCTGAAGCTGAGAGATAGCACGATTTTTGGGTTATAGAATCATAGAATCATAGAATCAAAGAGTTGGAAGAGACCTCATGGGCCATCATCCAGTCCAACCCCCTGCCAAGAAGCAGGAATTTGCATTCAAATCACCCCTGACAGATGGCCATCCAGCCTCTGTTTAAAAGCTTCCAAAGAAGGAGCCTCCACCACACTCCGGGGCAGAGAGTTCCACTGCTGAACGGCTCTCACAGTCAGGAAGTTCTTCCTCATGTTCAGGTGGAATCTCCTCTCTTGTAGTTTGAAGCCATTGTTCCTTGCGTCCTAGTCTCCAAGGAAGCAGAAAGGAAGCTTGCTCCCTCCTCCTCTCTGTGGCTTCCTCTCACATATTTATACATGGCTATCATAGAATCATAGAATCAAAGAGTTGGAAGAGACCTCATGGGCCATCCAGTCCAACCCCATTCTGCCAAGAAGCAGGAATGTTGCATTCAAATCACCCCTGACAGATGGCCATCCAGCCTCTGTTTAAAAGCTTCCAAAGAAGGAGCCTCCACCACACTCCAGGGCAGAGAGTTCCACTGCTGAACGGCTCTCACAGTCAGGAAGTTCTTCCTCGTGTTCAGATGGAATCTCCTCTCTTGTAGTTTGAAGCCATTGTTCCGCGTCCTAGTCTCCAAGGAAGCAGTAAACAAGCTTGCTCCCTCCTCCCTGTGGCTTCCTCTCACATATTTATACATGGCTAACATGTCTCCTCTCAGCCTTCTCTTCTTCAGGCTAAACATGCCCAGCTCCTTAAGCCGCTCCTCATAGGGCTTGTTCTCCAGACCCTTGATCATTTTAGTCCCTCCTCTGGACACATTCCAGCTTGTCAATATCTCTCTTGAATTGTGGTGCCCAGAATTGGACACAATATTCCAGGTAAAGTGGTCTAACCAAAGCGGAATAGAGCATGGGGAGCATGACTTCCCTAGATCTAGACACTAGTCTCCTCTTGATGCAGGCCAAAATCCCATTGGCTTTTTTTGCCGCCACATCACATTGTTGGCTCATGTTTAACTTGTTGTCCACGAGGACTCCAAGATCTTTTTCACTTTATCAATGTCACCTCCTCATTGGTTCTATCATCAAAATCTGGGGAAAGTTTATTGAACTATGTCTTTGGAGGACATCCTGCTATAGCACATTTTGTTGTAGTTTTTCAATAAATAAAGATCTCATCGAGTCTCAACCAATTCAACCACAAAAATGAAGTTTCTGGAGTATGACAACTTCCAAAGTAAGGACCACATAATTAAACAGGAATAACTCATTCAAATGGAACATTTTTCAAATTGTAATACATGCCTAAAGCACCCAATGGGCTTCCAAGGCTGAACCATGGTCTTCCCAGCTTTATCTACACTGGCCAATGAATGTGGTTTGACCTGCATATGGTCAGGGTTAGACTCACATAATGTAGTTTGAATGGCCCCAGAGTCCTAGTATGACACTGAAAATCGCTACACAATGTTATCTCTCATTTTCTTAGCAAGATGTCATCAGAAATGGTTGGCAGTGGCCTTCTTCTGAGGCTGAGTGGAGGGTCACTTTCTAGAATGACTGGATGGGTTTCCATGGGTCCGAATCCAACTCTCTACCCATTGCACTATGCTGGCTCTCTCTCTCTAGTGCAGTGGTTCTCAACCTGGGGGTCGGGACCCCTGAAGGGGTCGCGAGGGGGTGTCTGAGGGGTCGCTAAAGACCATCACAGACAGTATTTTCTGTTGGTCATGGGAGTTCTGTGGGAAGTTTGGCCTAATTCTATCGTTGGTGGGCTTCAGAATGCTCTTTGGTACTAGGTGAACTATAAATCCCAGCAATTACAACTCCCCAATGTCAAGGTCTATTTTCCCCGAACTCCACCAGTGTTCACATTTGGGCATATTGAATATTCGTGCCAAGTTTGATCCAGATCCATCATTGTTTGAGTCCACAGTGCTCTCTGGATGTAGGTGAACTACAACTCTAAAACCCAAGGTCAATGTCCACCAAACCCTTCCAGTATTTTCTGTTGGTCATGGGAGTTCTGTGTGCCAAGTTTGGTTCACGTCCATTGTTGGTGTAGTTCATAATGCTCTTTGAATGTAGGTGAACTATAAATCCCAGCAACTACAACTCCCCAATGTCAAGGTCTATTTTCCCCGAACTTCACCAGTGTTCACATTTGGGCATATTGAATATTCATGCCAAGTTTGATCAAGATCCATCATTGTTTGAGTCCACAGTGCTCTCTGGATGTAGGTGAACTACAACTCTAAAACCCAAGGTAAATGCCCACCAAACCCTTCCAGTATTTTCTGTTGGTCATGGGAGTTCTGTGTGCCAAGTTTGGTTCATGTCCATTGTTGGTGTAGTTCAGAATGCTCTTTGAATGTAGGTGAACTATAAATCCCAGCAACTTCCAAATGTCAAGGTTCTCAACCTGGGGGTCGGGACCCCTGAAGGGGTCGCGAGGGGGTGTCTGAGGGGTCGCTAAAGACCATTACAGACAGTATTTTCTGTTGGTCATGGGAGTTCTGTGGGAAGTTTGGCCTAATTGTATCGTTGGTGGGCTTCAGAATGCTCTTTGGTAGTAGGTGAACTATAAATCCCAGCAACTACAACTCCCCAATGCCAAGGTCTATTTTCCCCAAACTTCACCAGTGTTCACATTTGGGCATATTGAATATTCGTGCCAAGTTTGGCCCAGATCCATCATTGTTTGAGTCCACAGTGCTCTCTGGATGTAGGTGAACTACAACTCTAAAACCCAAGGTCAATGCCCACCAAACCCTTCCAGTATTTTCTGTTGGTCATGGGAGTTCTGTGTGCCAAGTTTGGTTCAAGTCCATTGTTGGTGTAGTTCAGAATGCTCTTTGAATGTAGGTGAACTATAAATCCCAGCAACTACAACAGTCAGTGGTTCTCAACCTGGGGGTCGGGACCCCTGAAGGGGTCACGAGGGGGTGTCAGAGGGGTCGCCAAAGACCATCACAGACAGTATTTTCTGTTGGTCATGGGAGTTCTGTGGGAAGTTTTGCCCAATTCTATCATTGATGGGATTCAAGGGAAAAAAAAAAAAAAAAAAAAAAAAAAAAAAAAAAAAAAAAAAAAAAAAAAAACAAAAAAAAAAAAAAAAAAAAAAAAAAAAAAAAAAAAAAAAAAAAAAAAAAAAAAAAAAAAAAAAAAAAAAAAAAAAAAAAAAAAAAAAAAAAAAAAAAAAAAAAACCTAATTCTATTGTTGGTGGGCTTCAGAATGCTCTTTGGTAGTAGGTGAACGATAAATCCCAGCAACTACAACTCCCCAATGCCAAGGTCTATTTCCCCCAAACTTCACCAGTGTACATATTTGGGCATATTGAGTATTTGTGCCAAGTTTGGTACAGAACCATCATTGTTTGAGCCCACAGTGCTCTCTCTGGATATAGCTGAACTACAACTCCCAAACTCAAGGTCAATGCCCACCAAACCCCATCCTCCAACCAATCCTCCCATCCCAACCCCACCAGTATTCAAATTTGGGCATATTGGGTATTTGTGCCAAATTTGGTCCAGTGAATGAGAATACATCCTGCATATCAGATATTTACATAACGATTCATGATGTTGTTGTTGTTGTTCGTTTGTTCAGTCGTCTCCGACTCTTTGTGACCTCATGGACCAGTCCACGCCAGAGCTCCCTGTCGGCCGTCACCACCCCCAGCTCCTTCAAGGTCAGTCCAGTCTCATCAAGGATGCCATCCATCCACCTTGCCCTTGGTCAGCCCCTCTTCCTTTTCCTCTTCCTCTTCCGATTCATAAGAGTAGCAAAATTACAATTATGAAGTAGCAACGAAAATAATTTAATGGCTGGGGGTCACCACAACATGAGGACCTGTATTAAGGGGTCGTGGCATTAGGAACGTTGAGAACCACTGCTCTAGTGCCTATGAAGGCAAACATTCCCAAACAAAACTCTGGTAGAGAAGCTGGACCCAGTCCTCCAGTCCTTAGAGAACGTGACCTCTCTTGTCCTTCATCAATAAGCATATTGCCATCCTTTCTTCCCTCGATCCCTCCCTGACCCCCTGGTAAACATCGGTTCCCACCTTGCCCTGTCTGTCTCCTACCTGTGAAGGGAGTATTCAGGGCTCAATTCCTACCCAAAACGCAGCCCCTCCTGAGAAGCGTCCCAGAGCAATTGTGTGGATCATAACTTCTCCGCAGCCTTTGAGGCGTGAGCCGTGGGTGGCCGGAGAGTGGGAAAAGAGGGGAGAAAGAGGAGGCAAACAAGGGATGAAGCAAGTTGCAGGAAAACAGGATGTTCGGTGGCCCAGCTCCAAGGCTGGCGTGGTGGGACGCCAGAAAACAAAGCCAGCCAGCCCAACAAAGAAGCCCTTGGAGCTGCACCTCCTCCCATTGCTTTCTCTCTCTTTCCTATCAGCAACTGCTTCAAGTGGATAATTTTTTGGAAAAAAAGCAATTTTTATGAAAAAGCAAGTCAACAACCCCCCCCCCCCCCGCCGTTTCACAAAGAGACCTGGTTGTCTTGGATGTCCTGCAGAGTCTAAGCTCTCTTGGCTCCATTCGGAGTGGTTGTGTAACAAGAGCATAAACCCACATAAAACTGAGAACAAATTGTTTCTCTCCCCCCCCCCCCCCCCTATTTTGCTAGAGCCAAAGCTTTCCTCTGCTTCCCCTCCCACTTCTTCCAAAAATGATTAATTCCACCTTTCATCATGCCTGCTTTCTACAGGCCAATGGGACTGAATCCTAGTTGGAGTAGGCTCATTGAATCAACGGAATTTGCCTCCAGATTGAGTGACAAATTAACAACTGATTGGATTGACTTCAGTTGGGAGTTACAATCCTATTGTAAGCTCCAACTAAATTAGACTGGAGCTATTGACTCAATGGACTTAGCTCCATATTGATTCATCCATCAACAATCTGCTGAATGGGTCTACATTGGTTGGGAGTAACAACCTGATTCTAAGCTCCAACGAGACCCATTGAATGCAAGGGATTTATTTCCATGTTGACTTGCTAGCTAACAGTTGATTGACTGGGTCTACTTCAGTTAGGAGTTACAACCTTATTATTGCAAGCTCCAACTAGGCTAGATTGGAGCTATTAAATCAATGGACTTGACTTCGTGTTGACTCCTCCATCAACAGTTTGCTGAATGGGTCTACACTGGTTGGGAGTAACAACCTGATTGTAAGCCAACTAGACCACAGTAGGTCCATTAAGTGGAAGGGATTTACTTCCATGTTGACTTGCCACTCAACAGTTGAGTGAATGTGTCTATTTCAGTTGGGAGTGACAACCTTATTATTGTAAGCTCCAACTAGGCTAGATTGGAGCTATTGAATCCATGGATTTAACTCCATGTTGACTCCTCCATCAAGAGTTTTCTGAATGGGTCTACATTTGTTGTGAGTAACAACCTGATTGTAAGCTCTAACTAGACTACAGTAGGTCCATTGAATGGAAGGGATTTAATTTCATGTTGACTTGCCACTCAACAGTTGATTGAATGGGTCTACTTCACCTGGGAATGACAACCTTATTATTGTAGGTTCCAACTATACTGGAGTGGAGCTATTGAATCCATGGATTTAACTCCATGTTGACTCCTCCATCAAGAGTTTTCTGAATGGGTCTACATTTGTTGTGAGTAACAACCTGATTGTAAGCTCCAACTAGACTACAGTAGGTCCATTGAATGGAAGGGATTTAATTTCATGTTGACTTGCCACTCAACAGTTGATTGAATGGGTCTACTTCAGCTGGGAATGACAACCTTATTACTGTAAGCTCCAACTAGAGTAGACCAGACCAGTTGAACCAAAGGGATTTACCTCCATGTTGACTGATCAGTTGACATTTTTTTCAAAGGGTCTACCATGGTTGGGAGTTACATACCTATTGAGAAGCTCCTACAAGAGTACCAGATCTTCTCAATCACATGTTGACTCATTAGTCCTTTTATTCATCGGATGTACTCTGGTTGAGTGTGTCCAACAGGATTGAGACCATTGACAAATAACCCAACAATGGTCATGGCTGCCATTACCTCTGTCCTTTTGGAAGGACTCTGCTGTTGGTGAAAGTGCACCCAATGAGCCATGTGTAACTTCTGTTGAAGAATGACCTGGAGAACTTAGAAAGGACATGTTTTCTCAGATGTGGGTAGGTGTAATGTCAGGTATTAGGGTTCCTATTATACTTGAAGATGATGTCTTTCAATGTAAGTCTGGCTGAGCTCTAGAATCTCATTCTCTCTAAGTCTGTGCTATGCCACACGTCTATTGGGAGGAAGACGTAGTAAAGGAGGGAGTCCTTCACATACATCTTGAACTCATCAGAGGATATAACTAATGCATGTCATGGAAACCTGGACTTCAGTGGCCTTTGGACAATAAGCCCTGAAAGACTGATATGTGAAACAGAGAGCAGACCTTTGCAAGGAGCAAGAATGTTTATTTGAAAAAGTGCAACCCAAAAGTACAGGCATATAATTCATTTTGGAATAAAGTGCTGCATGAAAGCAAAATATGACATATTATATAGTCAGTCTTCGACATTTGCTGGAGTTAGGGTAAAAGGCCCACTACGAATATGAAAAGCCAGAAATAAGACGTGTGTATGAGACCAGAGCTTCCAAAACACCAGGCTCTCCCACCCAGATTTGCAATTGATCCTAGGATTCATAGCCCATAGTACTATATTTGCTCGAGTATAATGCACCATCAAATCTAAAGCATGCCTCAGTTTTGGCTATATAATTTAGCTGGAAAAGGTGTGCATTAGACTCAAGTAAATATGGTATAATACTGCTATTAGCATATTAAAATACCAGATGTTTGGTTGACCAGATGAACAGACTGCTACTAGGAGTAGCAAAACTTTGCACTTAAAACTACTTTAACAGGACACTGCAATTATTAGCAGTTCGAATCTAATACAAATCTGAATTTTGGCTATGTAATTTAGCCAGAAAAGGTGCACATAAGACACGAGTAAATATGGTAACTTCCCAGCTGTGGGTATATATCAGCCTCATAAATTTTGTTTTGCGGTATGGATCATCCACTTATTTTGGGATCCCTTTGGTATACAAAGCCTAGGAAGTTGTGTTGATCCACTGGAGGAAACCCATAACCCACAGCAAGGCGATATCTTTATTAGGACCAACTCAAATATCTTATATCTGTAGTCTAGGCTGCCGTAGTTCAGAGTGCAATGAGTAAAGCTCAGGGGTGATGGATACTGAGGTGCTGAATATTACAGGCTTCTAGAACAAGAATCACCAGGAGAACATCAACCTCTTAGAAGGTGTCTCTCCACAAGTGGCTTTGTATATGTCCTGAAGTGTTGTTCTGCAAAAGAAGACGCTTGTAAACATGAGTTGACCTGGCAATACCAACTTGGGAGTCAGTTTCCGGAATGGTGTATGTGAGATCTTTGGGGGATTGTTGCCTCTTCCCGACCAATGGCTGGAACTTTCCTGGAGGACCTCAATGCTGGTGGTGTTTTCTTCATCCGTTTCACCTTCTCCTTGACAACCGCAGCATCATAACAATCCTTGAACTTGATGTAGAAGAGGGCGATGGGGACGGCGATGGTGAGGATGCCGCTGACAGCCGTACAGGTCCCAATTATTCGGCTGCCTGTCGAATAAGGGTACATATCTCCATAGCCCACAGTGGTCAAGGTGATGGCTGCCCACCAGAAGGAGCTGAAAAGGTTGTCAAAAAAATTCTCAGGCGACGCCTGTAGAAACTCTGCATAAAAAACGAGGATCCCAAAGAAAATAATTTCCAATACAAAGACCATCAGGAGGATGAGAGCCTCTCTCAGGAGGCTTCTGGAAGTGTAGGACAGGACCTTGAACATCATTGGGGTCTCCAGAAGCTTCAGCATCTTCAAAAGTTTGGGGAAGTAGAGAATGCGGAGAAAGCTACTCCAGTACATGGAGCGGCTGCTTGTTACTCGAGATATAATCTCAATGTAGGCAGGAAACAAAGAGAGGAAATCAGCAATGTTAAGAGGGTTCATCAGGAATTTCTTCTTGTTTGGACAGAATGTGGCTCGTATGGTGAACTCAAGAGTGAACCAGAGGACACAAGAGAGTTCCAGGTAGAAGTAAGGACGAAATATCTGTTTGGGGGAATCGTTGGGGTGAGGGAGTTTCTTGGTTTCTTCATAGTGATAGATCATACCAATGTCAGAGGCGATCAACAGCGCCAGGATGCAGATGCTGATGTTGAAGAGCAGGCAAATGGCAGCCAAGCACTGCAGGGAGAGAAGAAGTCCAGCCATTATCATCCATATCCTCATGTACCATCATATATCAAGGTAGAAAGCTCCTTGGCCATAGATGAGATTGCTCCTCAATAAGGTATTGCTCCATCTATCTTCCTCACATATTTCATTTATGAAGGTTCTGGAGATGATTGATGTTGAGGATAGGGCTGTATGCTTTTGTTTTAGCATAGGATCAAAAATCATGAAACATTTAGGATCGTGTTTGGTGGACCATCTCAACTCAATTTGGGGATGAGGAATTGAAGGATTTCTGGTAGGAAATTGTGGTGATAGGGTGTTGGAGATGTATATCATCTTCACCACTACTATGACCATCACAATAATCATGATCATGACCATGATCATCCTACCCTGCTCTTTAACTAGGAATATCTTTCTGAAATTTGGTTGGTTCTTCCTAAAAGAGAGGAGACATATTGAATCAACTTTTGGTGTGGGAAGTGAATATTTCCTGGATATTGTGATGGAAATAGAAATATTGAAGTGATATGGCACCATGAAGAGAGAAGCTGAGGCCCCTTCTTTGATCTCAGATTATCTGTTTATCCCGGATTATACGGCAGTGGAGACTCATATAATCCAGTTCAAAGCAGATAACCTGGGATATAATGACTGTGCAGAAGTCCACCGAAGAGTGGCATGAAACCCAATCACAAGTAAACATTGACCTGGGTCCTTTCTCACAACATCTGCAGAAGATACAGGTTCCTCCTGCCTGTTCCTCAAGCTTCACCTTTCTGCATTGAACACTCTAGATTGGTTACCTTGGTGCTGAAGCTGGAATGGGGTTTTTCAAAGAGAGCCCAGATTTTGGGCTGCCAGAAAATATTCAAAGATATTAAAAATATTCAGGAAAAAAAACTTCCGTGCTTCTCTCTGAGCTCCCTCTTTCAACATTCCCCCCTCTTCCTGTGTTATCTCCCTTCTCGTAAAAGTCCTTTTGAACTCTTACCTACTATTTTCTCAATTTCCTCTCTGAAACTGCCTCTCCTGCTGTGCTGTCAGGCTTTTGTTTTGCTTATCAAAAGGCTAGCAGAGAGAGACATAAGAGAGTGAAAACTTCATTTACCCCTCCCTCCAATTCTCAATTCTGCAATGTAAAAATAACCTCTCTCCATATGTTGTGAGTTTTTTGGGTTGAACTCCTGAAATTACAAATACATACATTACTTTTAAAAATGGGGAAGGACATCTTTCTGCATCAAATGCTCTGGATGGGTTACCTTGGCACTGAAGCTGGAACGGGGTTTTTCAAGGAGAGCCCAGATTTTGGGCTGCCAGCGAGCCCTGCAGCTGTTCCTATTCCCTTCGGCTTGTTCTAAGAAGCCCTGCATATCCTCCTCATCTTCATCCAAAACTATGGGCTCATCTGTGTTCTTTAGGGCTTGCTCACAACAAGGAGCAAAGGCAGCCCCTTGGATGCCCCAAAAGGCCATCTCCTCCTCCAAGACCGACTCGCAGACCTCTCTAGTGCAATGGAAGTGCTTGGTGCGGTAATAGTTCAGCACCTCGTCGAAGAGGTCAGCATTTCGGTCAAAGAAGAACTCCTTGCGATTGGGGTCATAGTCCAAAGAGGAGAAGGCCTGTGGCTCCGTCAGTTGGCCGAGTTTGGTGCCTGGAAAAGCCTGGAGAGTGGACAGATATGTTTGGTAGCGGATGCCTCCGATATTCAAGGTGACTTTCTCCTGAGCGGGCTTCATCTTCGACGTCTCTTGTATTTGCCTGCAGAAAAAGAGAAGCATGAAAAATGCGGTCTTTATATCTTCTGGAGATTTAAGTTTGCAAAGGTGTCCCTTGAATTAGGGGAAAAAATCCTCTATATCTGGTTTCAAACATTGCATATTGAAGCTCTGAATGAATGAAGCTATGTATCCTGCCCCATCTCTCAAAGGGACTTTAATATAAATAAATGTTCTGTCCCTGGTTTGAAAGTTTTATTCCGTTTAATTGTGCAAAACTTACATTGAAAGTAGTTTTTCTATTCCAGAAACTTTGTTTTTGAGGCTACCACAAACTAGGTTGAATTGGTCGACACTCAATTTATTTATTTTATTATTTACAGTATTTATATTCTGCCCTTCTCACCCCACAGGGGACTCAGAGTGGATTACAATGCAAATATGCATGGCAAATATTCAATGCCATAGACACACAACATATATAGACAGACATACAGAGGCTATTTAACTTTCCAGCTTCATGAGGGTATGCTTTTTGAATTCTGGCCACTGGGGGAGCTGTTGCTTCACCATCCACTTGTGACACCGATGGAGTACTTCCTCATTCTTTTGCACGCTGTTGGAGAGTTTTTATGGCGTTGTAAATTAGTTAAATTAGCCTCTCCGCATAAGTGGTACCTAAATTTCCTACTTGACAGATGCAACTGTCTTTCGGACTGCAAAGGTTGACAGCAAGCTACACAAAGATTGGAAGCTCACTCCGACCCGGACTAGCTTTGAACTCATGACCTTTCATGACTTGCAGCCAGCTGCGCCACAGTCCCAGTACAATGATGAGACATCCATTGGAAAACTAGAGCAAAATGTCCTATTACAGGATGTCCTGCACAAACAAAGATTTGGCAGTTTAATCAACTTTTTCCCTATGATAGAACCAATTAGGAAATGACATGTATAACTCAGGAACAAAAATTGTGTTATATAGTGTAATAGTAGTGATTTTTGTGTGGAATTATGGAAATATGATCTCCTTAATGTTTCAAGGCTTCTATATTTTTGCACCAACTTGTGCAAATATTTGTGCTACCTTTCCATGCTCAGCTGAGGGCCCTTCCATGCTATACATTTGTATGAATCAGATGACACTTGAACTGCTGTGGCTGCATCCTGTGGAAACCTGGGATTGGTAGTTTTCTGGGGCTTTGGATTTTTCTGAATAGGGAACTCCTCGCTATACACTGCAAATTCCAGAATCCCATGCAGTGTTGAGACGGCCCTATCTATCTATATATAAATGCTCTGTGCATAATGAGTACCTTAAAAACAAAAGAACCAATGAACGAAATCACACCAAATTTGGCAACAAAACGTCTCACAACACAAGGAGTGACCATCACTCAAAAATTATGATTTTGTCATTTGGGAGTTGTAGTTGCTGGGATTTATAGTTCACCTACAATCAAATAGCATTCTGAACTCCACCAACGATGGAATTGAACCAAACTTGGCACACAGGACTCCCATGAGCAACAGAAAACATTAGAAGGGTTTGGTGGGCATTGACCTTGAGTTTGGGAGTTGTAGTTCACCTACATCCAGAGAGCAAAGAAGGTCAATTATATGTTGCATGTTCCAGAGTAGGCAAACCACATCAACAATGACAAAGAAACAAGAAGAAATACTGTTTACCCACAAGCATAAATAAATTACATATATTAGAAACAAACACTTTCTCATTACTTTATTTTCCAGATAACTAGACAGGGCCACAGCAACGTGTGGCAGGGGACAGCTAGTCCTTCAATATGAGAACTGCATATTTTGCATTATTGAAAGAAGATTTCATTTCCACATGATATACCGCTTCCTCTCAAATGGAGAGTTGCTGAGATCCAGAAAAATAAATACTTGTGTTGTGTAAACATAGAGTAAAACAACAAAGCAAAACTAGATCATGGTTCACTACTTTGCAACAATGACCCCTATCATCATCATCATCATCATCATCATCATCATCATCATCATCATCATCATCATCGTTTATACCCCTCTTTTTCTTTGCACAAGGAAACTCAAAGCGGCAATGTATGCATTATTAGTATTAGAATGCATTATTATTATTATTATTATTATTATTATGTTTATTATGTTTATTATGTTTATTATGTTTATTATGTTTATTTATACCTTGTTTTCTCTCCACAAGGAAACTCAAAATGGCTATGTATTCATTATTAGAATGCATTATTATTATTATTATTATTATTATTATTATTATTATTATTATGTTTGTGTTTGTTTATGTTTATTTATACCTTGCTTTTTCTCTCCACAAGGAAACTGAAAGTACCTATGTATTCATTATTAGCATTAGAACATATGCTGCTGCTAATGAAGTGGCTATGTATCTAATATTAGTATAATAATAATCATAATAATAATAATGTGTTGTTGAAGGCTTTCATGGCTGGAATCACTGGGTTGCTGTGAGCTTTCTGGGCTGTTTGGCAATGTTTCAGCAGCATTCTCTCCTGACATTTCACTTGCATTTATGGCAGGCATCCTCAGAGGTTGTGAAGTCTGTTGGGAACTAGACAAGTGAGGTTTACATATCTGTGGAATGATGTCCAGGGTGGGAGAAAAAACTCTTATCTGCTTGAGGCAATTGTGAATGTTGCCACTGGCCACCTTGATTAGCACTGAATGGTCTTGCATCTTCAAAGCCTGGCTTCTTCCTGCCTGTGAGAACCTCTTTGTTGGGAGCTGTTAGCTGGCCCTGTCTGGAATTCCCTTGGTTTTTGAGTGTTGCTCTTTATTTACTGACCTGATTCTAGAGGTTTTTTAATACTGGTAGCCAGATTTTGTTCATTTTAATGGAATGTATTTATTATTATTATTATTATTATTATTATTATTATTATATTTATGCCCTGATTTTTCTCTCCACAAGGAGACTCAAATTGGCTATGTATCCATTATTATTATTAAAATGTATTAATAATAATAATAATAATGTTTATTTATACCCTGCTTTTTCCCCACAAGGAGACTCAGAGCAGCTATGTATTCATTATTATTATTATTATTATTATTATTATTATTATTATTATTATTATGTTTATGTTTATTTATACCCAACTCTTTCTCTCCACCAGGAGACTCAAAGCAGCTATGTTTTCATTATTATTATTATTATTATTATTATTATTATTATTATTATTATTATGTTTTATTTATACCCAACTGTTTCTCTCCACCAGGAGACTCAAAGCAGCTAAATCTACCAGCAACCTGGCTAACAACAACAACAACAACAACACCAACAACATGAAAATTGTGTAGCTCTTTGAGAAGACAGACTGCAAAAGCACCAAGCAAACAGGGTCCTTTCCAACGAGAGAATAATGGAATTCAGATCAACTCCTCATTGAAGCAGTGCCATTCTGGTTCAATGTAGAGTGCATAGATTGCATGCTTTTGCTCCTGTTATGATGTTGGGACTGGTTTATGCGCTGGACAGCACTACATCTTCCTTCCTTTTTCCTCCTTCTAAAGTAGCAGGACTCTTCCCAGGTGCAACCCAGTTTATGACTTTGATCCTTACCTTGAATTTGGTGGATGGGTCAGCTCTTCTCGAAGCTGCAGCCGGCCAGAGGGAAAGCAAGCGAGAAAGAGGAGAAAGGGGCTGCTCCGCTGCAGTCAAAATCCCAGCCCATCGCTGGAGGATGCCAGAAAACACAGCTAGCTTCATCAAACAGAAGAAGCCACAGGAATGCTGCCTGGATCCTTCCTTCGTTGCTTTGCTCCTATTTTCCTGGGAACTTCATTGGGACAAGGCAAAGAAAAGGCCTCCGGACAGCATATTCTGTCCTTCTGCCGAGCCACCTTTTCCTTTGTCCTGGGACATTCCTGCTTTTGGACACACATTCACAAGTTGCTGGCACAAAGTTGTGCCAGAATTCACCCAGAAGGAAAACAAAGGGGAATTCATCTTGCTTCATTCTTCCAGAGCCATCTTTTTCTGGGAACAGCCCGATATTTTGTGTTTTCTGGGAAGATTATTTCAGCCAGCTGTCAAATCAAAAGCATTGCAAGATGGTGAAGCCAGGACAGTTCAAATGCAACAACACTGCTATAAAGCATGCCTTTTTGGGTGAATTTTAGGGAGGTGGGATTGTTATTATTGTTATTACTTCACTTAATAATAATAATAATAATAATAATAATAATAATAATAATTGAGATTATTGTCATGCTTGGTCCTGAAAAGGTCAGTTGGTTGTTTTGCTTGCTTGCTTGCATGTTGCAAGTCACTTCTGGTAGCTTCTGGAGTGAGAGAATCAGCCGTCTACGAAGACGTTGCCCAGGGGATGCCCGGATGTCTTGTAATCCTGCGAGGAGGTCTAAGGGGGCGGCCGGTGAAGCTGAGAGGGGCGAGCTAGCGTAGAGAGGTGAGCTGGGAGGAAGAGAATGAAAAAAGAAGGTAAACGGCCGGAGGGGAGGGGGGGAGAGGCGAGAAAAAGAAAAGAGAGAGAAGAAAAAAAGGAGGTCAAAAATTGGAGAGGCGTGCGCTCGGCGCAGTAGGTGCGAGGAGAAGTAGAGCCTGGGTAACGGTTCGCGCTGCGTCCCTGGGGAGGGGCGTGGGGGCATAGTAGCGCAATATGGTGTAACAGAGAGAGGGGACGCGGAGACGGAAGGGGGGCGAGAGTGTGAGTGTGAGAAGTAGAAATAGTCTCTCCCGTCTAGGGCCGTCGTTTTTTTCGCTCGTTCTTCTGGCGTAGGAGGATGAAGGGGAACAAGGAGAAGGAGAAGAAGAGGAGAAGGAGAAAGAAGATGGAGGAGGAGAAGAGGATGAAGGGGAACAAGGAGAAGGAGAAGAAGAGGAGAAGGAGAAGGAGAAAGAAGATG